GCCAAATACGACACCTTTTGATATGAGAACTGCCTTTATTAAAAGGATCATTTTGTAGACTAAGTATTGATAGGTCTCTTACTCAAACAGGTTCTTACACTGGGTTCATTACTTCCTTTCAAGAATGGGTGCATACCCCTCAATCCTTTGTAAGAAGCTTCAACTCTTATTCCAAAGTACTGATAGTATCAGAGCATCTCACTTTATTGTTGGGCTTAAATTCAACAGGCAGTAGAACTAGGATGTTGATGCAAGAAGAGAATATGCAATTGCTTTACTGCTAAACTCCATTTAGCATTTCAGAGTATTTAGTAAATTCAGCCTCTTCTCTTTCCAGTTATGATCTCTTGGAGGGAGAAGAGAGATAGTTCAGAGCAGCTCATATCTGTCCACAGTGGTGGGGTGCAGAAAAAAAGCATAGGAATTGAAGTTTCTACAACTGCACATCCATGAACAAAGTACTGCAGAAAAATATTTACAGCACTCCTAGCTACTCATACTATTTACAGCTGCCAAACAGGGCTTTCTGCAGTCAAACATGAACCATTGTCCTTATTTATATTGAGTTCTCATGATTATAAAGGACTTCAATACTGTTATGTATAAGTAGAGATTCAGGGTAAAGTACTAGTAAGGTCATTCAGTAAAACAACAGGAAAACTGATAAAGTCCTCACTGAAATCCTCATTCAGGCTTTTTGCGGAGCATTTTATAACTTTGCAAATTAATTCATTTAAAAAAACATTTGGAAGTGGTAATCTATGGTCATAAGATACTTAATACAAAATTACTAATACTGAAGGTTCAGAGCAACTCGCTTGTGCTTTCACTTTGCACGACTCCTGGATTTCTCTGAAGAAGAAACAAAGAATACGGTCCTGTTTTGGCATTCATATTTGGGGGTCCTTTCCAGCTTGAGTAATGTCTACATCTAGTCTTTATTCAGGCTAAAACAAAACCTGAGGTCTTGCACTTGTTGACTTCCAGCTGATAAGAGTCCTATATGAAGGCAAAGACCTAATTAACACAGTAAGTCCTGCTCAGTTCAAAGCCTTAGAAATGGAGATAAATTTTTTTTCTTTCCCACTTCACATGCAGTTGCAGTAAGTGCACGCCTGCGCAAGAGACCCAGCAGAGAGACTGTACCCAGCATTTAGTAGGCCTAGGGTAAAGCTCATTTCCCCAATTAAGGAAATGAAAGAATCAAAGGGGAATTCATAGCATGTTATGCATTTAAAGTGAATGATGCTTAAAAAACAACTTGCATGGTTTTCTGGTCTAGAAAGAGGCAGATAGTGTTTATCAGATCTCATAATTATGGTTGGGAAAAGTCTTGTATACAGGCTTGCAGCTGAGCCACTGCTCATTTACATTAGATCTCATTAACCTGTTTAGCTAAACCTATACCAAGCTGTCAATGCATTAGTCCAGCTGCAAGAGTCTTAATCATGGAACTGAACTTCTCTGCTTGACCTTATGCTCAACTTAACTGTGGACCCAACAGTTCAGCTGGCATTAATCCTTGAAAACAGTGATCAATGAGGTCTTTGCCCAACTATATTGAACACTGAAAACTAATGCTGGTTTTGCCTATAACAAATATATTAAATTTGCTGCTCCAAAAGACTATTTTAAAAGCTTTTAAAAAGTTTGTGTTAAGCAAAACATGAACTTTTTGTGCAAAGTAACTAAGAAAAAGGTACTTCATTGAATTATAAGATGTAGCCTGCTCTATTACTTTTTGACTTCTCTTTCATGTAGTTATGCTATTATGCCCTCTGGCATTCAGCATAAGACAGATTCATCTCCTGCATACCAGGCATAAAGAGAAACAAGCTTTACTGCATGAAAGCAGACAATATAATGCTAAAACCCCACAAATTATGTATTTAACAGTAAATACTTAAGACTATGGTTTTTATAAGATTATATTTTAAGTGCCTTATGTTTCTCCAGAAAGTGTAATTGTCCTTTTCATGAAGCCAAACACTGGTTTGAAACACATATATAGAAAACACTGCCCATTAAAGCCTGAAGTTTTAACAATATTGACGTTTGAGAGTATTAGTTGCCACAACAATGATCAGATCAGGTCTCTTCTACCATCTCAGGAAAGAAAAAAATGTACTTAGTTACAGTAAGTAGAGATCATATCTACAACATCTGAGTATTCAATAAGAGAGAGCAGATTGCTATAAGCTTATCTATCAGCACAGCCATTAAAAGGTCATAGTTTGTTTTATGTTTAAGGAAAAATGCCTGTTAGAATTAATTCAGTTTAAAAAAACAAAATAAAGTAAGTGCTGAGAAGACAAATCAATATTTGCATTTAGTTCCAGTTCAGTGGTTTACATAAGATAAAACCCTGGTACCAGAGAAGTCAATAAAAGCTGCAAGTGCTTGGCCAACCTTTATCTTAACTTGAAGTTAGCTGCACCTGGTTTTGCTCTGTGTCTAGTATCCTTGAAAACAAGGGAAATTGGATTTAAAAATCTAGTTCCTACCTTCAAAATAAGCTTCACTTCTCAATATATTCTATCTGATCACAGAGCATAAGAGTAGCATCTACAACAGTTATTTTCATTAGTTTTCCTTATCCAGTGTTAAAAATAACAGGTATTCCAAGGCAAGTATTACATTTCCACTTTCTAAAACTGACTCAATGAAAACAGTGAATAAAGTGTTTTCACTAATGCAAATTTTTTTTTTAAGTTGAGCATTATAACAAACCTTTCATTTATAAAAACACTTCAATGGCCTGATTGTATCTGTAGTTAACAACTCCACTACACCCTTCTGATCACATTAACATTCACATTTAAAAATATCCATCCATCTTCTACTTACACTAGGCTAGGATAGGACAGCATACCAATACCTCCTCCACCTCTTCCCTATTAAGAAAGCAGAGCATGACTCAAAAGATACCTAGTGCAACAACTAGTTAATGACAGCAAACCAAAGCCATCACTTACACAGGCCAAGTCTTGTGTTCAGCACGTCACAACATTAGTTTTATGCATTAGCTATATTGTTTCCATTGATCAAAGCTAATTAGGAAAAAAATCGTGCAAAGTATTCAGAAATACAAAAACATATCATCAAGCATCACTGGAGTTTAAGAAGCTTATTTCAAGTCCAACCCAGTTCCTATGATTAAGCAACAAAGTCTGAAGAAATCAGACTATTTGAATTTTTCCCAGAAAAGTCAAGACTAATGAGCTCATCGACGCCAGTGAGTGTATTCTTCTCCAGCAAATACTAGCCAAGCCAAGAAGCTTTTCACAAGAAACAAAGATCTGTACAACCTGCTCAAAGTGATCTCATTTTGAAAGATGAGAGATTTTGCTCTTCTAGACCCTGCCACAAAAGAGTTTCTATTTTTAATCACAAAAATATGGCAGCTTAAATATGAATTGAAGTTACATGTGTCAAAATATCAAAACACTTAAAGCCGCATTAAGTCTAAAAATAGCCATCAAAAATAAAGGTGGATGAATGATTTATTTGAAGTATGGGGGAGACAGGAGAAAAAAATCCATCCACCTTGGGAAATTGTATGATACACCAGGAACAACACTAACACCTACATACTAAATTTGAAGATGAGTTTAAACACAAGGGAACCACCTTGCAAAAGAGTCCATAGCCTGATAGACTGGGAACAAAGAACTAACAGCCCAGTTATCTCCACTTGTACAAAAATAGTTTAAGATTAAGTATTATCTTTCCCAATAACACAAGGAGGAAGAAAACCTGAGGAGCTGCTAAGATCTTCTAGAAGCATAGTCAGAATTCAGGAGTTAAAAAATACTGATAATAAGATGAGACTATGGGACAACTTATTTATATTTTCTATCAATTAACAAAACACTGTCAAGCCTTTTTATGAGTATATAAATGCATACATAATTCAACTCCTCTTTATACAGAGAAGCTGAAAGTTTGCCAGAGTGAGAACAATTGAGAGCTTCAGCCTGAAAAAATCTGGACCATCCTGAAGGCCATAAATCTTTTGCCAAGATCAATTTTTTTCAACAAGAGACCAAAGCAATCAATAAAATTGACGGTGACCTCAAAGAGCAGTATCAGTACAGCAATGACTAGTGCAATTCAAACTGTACAAAAATTGTTTATATGCAGAGGAAAAGGAAGGGAAAGGCAACTTTGTAAAAGAAAAAAAACAAATCCAGCACAAATTCAATTAGCTTGTTTTTTAATGAAACCATGCTAAAACTCATTCCCAGCTTTAGCCAAGATTCATATAGGAATAAAGACTAATTAAAACATTACCATTCCAAAAAAATTCAACATTAAGGCCTACATAGATGGAAAGTCAAGGAAAGCTCCACAATTATCCATCTTCTTGCTAATCACTACTCACAGCTCCAGAATATCCACAATACAGCTCCTGCCCAAGTAACTGATCAAAAAGGGATAGTTAATAACACAGATGAGCAAGAGTCATACTGGATGTTTTAGGAAATGATAAATTAAGAGTAACAGGATTACAGGAAAATAGCCTGGGACATCTATTTCCACCGGTATTGTTCATGGAACAGCCCATATTTACACCTTACTACAAACTGCAGAATTCTCTTATCTGTGAAGTTGCACTGAGAAGTTCAGATCTTAGGTTTCCTGAGTACACTATGAAATTTAATAGAATACTTCTCTGTATGTTTGGATGACAAACATATGCACTGAAGTGACAACTATTCACCAGCTAGGGTTTATTTTTAAGGTCTTCTAGAAACACCTTAAAGCAAATGGGAGATGTTTAAAGTTAATAGAATACATTGTTACACATGGTTTCTACTAAAAATAGCTATTTCTTCATATGAATTAAATAAGCTTTAAGCAAGCTGTTTTTTGGACATACCTACGCATCAAAGCTTTGTATTAGACTAAAGCAAATCAAAGCCATGAAGAGATTGAGCTGCTTATTACAGCTGAGCATGTGCATATCATATAGGTAATACAAGAAAGGAACTTCTTACCTTCAGGTGCATCTGCATCACATTCTTTAGATACAAATGTCACATTCCTTGGCTGGCCATCAGTAGTTTTATTACTCTGCATTATAAATACAGAAAATTAGTACACTAGTCTACCAGCAATATTCTTTCATACACAATAATAGCCCCTGAAACAAACACATCTCTCAATAAATTATTAATTTTATAAAAAAGGCTTTGACAAACCTCTTACAATATTCAAAAGGATTAAGATTGGTTTTGAACACTATAGGCAGAGTAGGCTGTAAGTGGTACAAGGTGAACATTTCTAAATAAGCTTTCATTTAGGAAAAATTAATAGCTTGTGCTCTTTTCAAAGACTCATGAAAAATAAAAACTTCATCTCTGAAATTAAACCTTTTAATTGTGCATAAAATTAATTTGGAATTCAACTTTGGTGATGAAGACACCACAGAAGTATTAGGCTTGCATAACGATACCTAATACAGTTTACTACTGGTCTAAAAGCTAGATGATAGTATCTGATATACTTAAAAGCCAGAGCAGAGGAAGACAAATTGTGCTGAAGTGAATATTGAAAACCCAAATATTTCTGTTTAAATTTCTCAAATATTTGGTCAACTGACCCTTTCAGAGACTACATGAATTCTTTATGTACCATACTTACTTTTGAATAATCAGTGAATAATTTTAGCAGAGTCTAATGCAAATCCTTTGTACTACATTGATTTCTTCATACACTAATTCACTTCAAAGGGTCTCTATCTACTGTACTTACTTTCACCCTCATGATTTCCTAAACAGGAAGCCCTCTGAAAAAAATCAGTAAGGGTCAACACCTTTTCTCCTTCAGGTTGAAGAAACCATGTCCCTTAAAATCTACCAGAAATCAGTACAAGCTGGCACATAAGACTAAATGTTTCTCTGACAACTTAATTGACAAAGTTTAACAATATTAAGTAACTTCAGCTTTCACTCCGAACATTCAGGAGAAACAACCAAGTGCCTATCCTAAAAAGCAGCAGTTTGTATGAAATTCAGTTAGCTGCTCATACAAAACACATAGAAGCGTGGAGACCATTACTGCCTTAGAAGAAACAGATGCGAAAAGAGTACGAGTAGGCACAAGAATTAGGAACTGAAGTGGAACCAGAGGTAAGAGGACAATGTGTAGATAGAAACAATAGGATAAGAACAGAAGACATGAAATTTCAATTATTCACTGTACATGTAGCAGTAGTCCACCTCCAGGAGGTATTCCAACTGGCTGTCACCATTACAGCTTACACTGCCTATAGAAAGTGCTTCTTTCAAAAAAACAGCATTATATATTGTACAATTATAGAAGGGCATACAAAAAGCACAGAACAATCTCAATCTTGCCACTTCAAAATTGTCTTCCTTATCTTTGTTCATTTTAATTTTTAAACAGTAGAAATTTAAAATACAACACACAACAATAGCTAGACTTGCAGGTTTCCTTTGATAACATCTTCGCTTTTTCCCAGGTTTGATATCATTCTTGTACTCCATAGACACTCCTATAATTTAAGGCCTCTGACATATCCAGATTCAACTCCAAATGCTTTCCACAAGCTCAAGGCACTGGGGTGTACCCTAAAGTCATAAGATCAGCCTCTTCTTTGCTAGCAATCCCTTTTCTCCTACACAAGGCAAAACTTTGTAAAGGTCCACTGAAAGTTTTCTACCTTTTCACAAAACAGATATGAAAAAAAGTATTCCAAAAGAGAGATGTAAAGCATGTCATAGTATTAACCCTTCCTAATAAAAACTAAGAACCACATTTGCCATGCTAAGAGGAATATTAATCTCATTAACTCCATTAGCTAAACACCATTTTCGTTTTTATGTAGCTAGAATTTCTAACATTCAAATTTAAGATTCTTTAGTATATAAGTAGTATTACACAAAGCAAACTACACAAGTATTAAACAAAGCTAAAGTAGTCTGGCACAAAGCTAACTCACACAGAGAAGTAGTAAGTTGGAAGTTATTACTTATACTAAAGGGTTAACTAAAACCTAACAATACTTATGGCAAGACTCAGCAAGAGTTCAGTATCACTTCATCTAGTGAAAGACATTAAAGAAAAAAAAAAAATCACACCTTTGCCAGCACAGAATTGGTTTCTACATGCATGGTTTCTACATCTCTTCCAAGTAGTCCCTGAACAGGCCAAAATCTGCTCCCGAGTCCAGGGTTGCGATCCTACTATTTGCCCTATTCTCTCCTCTTAGGATTCTGAATTTCTACCATCTCATACTCACTGTAGCCAAGACTGCCCTTGATCACTTCTTCCGTGTTTTCAGCACCAGGTCCAAGACAGCATCTCCCTATTTCAGCTCCTCAACTGCCTGTGTCAGGAAGTTGTCACCAGTATACTCCAGAAGCCTCCTGGATTGCTTGGGCTCAACTGTGTTGCTCTTCCAGCAGATACCTGGGTGGCTCAAGCCTCCTATGAGGACCAGGGACTGTGAACATGAAGCTACTTAGAGGTATTTTCAGGGATCATCTTCCTGATCAGGCGCCTGCAGCAGAGCGTATCACCCATGCTAATCTGCCCTCTAACCCTAACCCAGAAGCACTTAGCTGGCTCGCTCATCCCAAGGCAAAACTCCAGGCATTCCTCTGCTCTCTCACATAAAGGTCAACTCTCCCTATGGGCCACGCCAGCCTGTCAATCTTAGAGCCCGCACCTAGCCATGGTAGCACCCCAGCCGTGTGAGCTATTTCACCATGTCTCTGATCCCAGTGAGAGTGGAAACCTGAAACTGCATGCAAACTTCTAACTCCTTCTTTGTTTCCCCTGCTGCATGCATTCGTATGCAGGCACTTCAGAGGCACCCAAGTTGCGCTGATTTCCCAGAAAATGTAGGACAGCTTTGCCCTTAATGCTGTCATCTCAGCACTTCTGTATTAGCATACATACACTTGAAGTAGAGCCCCTTTTGCCCTGCAGGGCACAGAAAATGACTGGACACGGAAAAGATGCAGAAGTGACAGCAGAGATGTGTCTACAGAACAATTCCTCAAAATAATTTACTTGGCGTTATGCAATAGAGCACTCAAGTCTCAGACATTTTTAGTATGAGTGTTGTCAGAGTAAAACTCTAGTGTTCCAGTTATCACATCCAGTCCAGAGCTGAAAGCAGGATGCCTCAAGGACAAGCAAGAGACAAACCCAAGTACAGTAACTCAGTGTCTGTGCTTCAAGGAGCTGACACGTTTTGGACACTTAAAATAGCAAGCTATCATATAAAGGGTTAGGTTACGGCCTATTACTTACATAATTTGTTCCTGCTTATGTTCAGAATCAAGAACGTAAAAGGATCTGTTTGCACACTTGGCCATCTAAGGGATACTTTCTGGCCATTTAAAGGATACTTCTGAATTCCTGCTGATAACAATGGAGACACTCAGTGTCCTGCAGCTTAGCTCCACTCCTCCAAATTGTCTATGTGAAGGCTGAGGAAGGAAAGTGACTGCTGCTGCTCTGGCCCTCAACCAGGGAAAAGTATCAGTGTCACTTACAGCAAGCAAATGCTGGCCTTCTAGTTTCTGTCTGGGCCAGTCAAGTCTTACAGGTCCACTAGGTAGAAACATCAGCAAGCACTGGTCTATCTTTCAGACAAATGGAAAAAGACCTGGCCTGATTGAACAGAAATAGCAATTACACTTCAAGTATGGGCAAAGTTATGTTTTTGCTACAAAGCTGAGAAGGTGGCCTGGATGTGGACAGAACTCTTCACCTTTGTGAAAGGCTATAAAGAGACTCACGGCTGTTTAGCAGATGTTACAAAGGTTGTCTTAAGAGATGAAACCAAGCATTCCTCAGTGTTTGAAGAGCTATGCAAGTTGACTAAAGCCTCAGTTGGTAAGGGCACAGTATCCAAAAGAAACTTTCAGAAGTTTCCTACAGACATCATAGCTGAAGACACTTTTGATTAATTGGGGACACATGGTTTGAACACTCCATTGGTCAAAGAGTTAAATAAAGAAAGCAGCCCAGCTCTAGCTAACATTAATAGCCTCACAAGAGCTCCGTTTTTCTACACATATTCAATTATCAGGAAAAGTCGACAGCACTTCAAAGTTAAAAGGTCTCGTTCAAGAGTAACAGTCTCCAAAGGAACCAGTTCAAGATTCAAACAGGTTTCTAACCTGTCTAATGCATCACTACAGATTTGGATTACAAATCAGTTTGACACGTTACTAGATTGGGAATTACTGTAGAGCAAAGAAAAGGGGGAAGTGCTCCTTTTACACACTGTCTTCATGAGCCACCAGATTCTGACATACATGCTTATCAGCCTACTCATCCACCACTAAGCTGACTTGGAATATTGCTTATTTATTGCTTGGTTCTATGCAGTGTTACCAGTGGTGTTACTTTAAATGATGAAATTGACTGTGGTGTGTACGAACAATGACCATGTAGACTGTCCAAGCAAACTGGTGCATACAGCTTCCATCTTCAGGAAGCTTGCCATATGCCCAAAATGTATTTCACTTGCCCAGTTCCTGCATATGTTCCTGGCTACTCCTCAGCTCCATAACAACCAATTCATAACTCTTAAGAACCTCTTCATTGCCAACATCCGCAGAAAAATCTGTTGCACCTCTTAATTCCCAGTCATCTCTCCTCATTTCAAAACACAAAAGTTTAACATCCAGTTATCAGGCTAGTCAGACACAGAAAATGTGTCTGATACAAGGTTTTCAGACAACATCCTCTCAAAGAATCTTTCAGAATGTATTTACTTGGTATGCCAGAAAAGTCCAGATGTATTTGACCCACATACTCTTTATGCTTCATGTTATCTTAACAATAAAAAGTCTCTACCCAGGTTACTTTATGCACTTTAAACACAGCTCTCTAAAATGGGACTTAAAAAGCTAAAGACCCAGGATGTCCATCTCAGCCATAATGGTTTTTTATTCCTTAAAAATGAAGAGTTGTAGCTCTACTCAACCATTCCAGCTAACCCTTCTTGCAGTGCTGACCAGAATTGTATTTCAATAGCTGTTTGAATGACATAAGAGCCACCCTTCTGCTGTGCTCCATTCTCTTGACCCTTTTCATTATGAACTATTTATCTATTTTCAGATACTATTTGTCATAAACAGCTAGCATGCAAGTGTTTAAGTCCCAATCTTTCTGCCCCCCTCAATATACACACATTTTATCCATAAAGCAAAACAAACTGCTAGCTACAGTCTCTGCTTTTCTCTTCAATCTTCCATGTTATCTGCAAGCTTTATCATGAAGGACTCATTTTCAGGTCACTGAAAGGCTTAAAGACTAGCTTGGTAGGATCCTTAATGAAATTGTCCTTCCCACCCTTCCACCCACAATGGTTCTGCACTGTAATTAGAGACATACAATCAGTCCACAATATAAAAAAAAAACCAAACCAAAACAACCAACCAACAAACTGCCTTTTGCAGGGACTTGAGCTCATAACTAATTCACATATAGCTATAAGGTGTTCTGGGCTACAAAGTAATCATGCCAGGAGTTCTATGAAACACAGCATAGAAGCAAACCACTTCCCTAAAATGATTTTTAGCTTAGTTTCTTGCTGCTATTGCCCTAATTCTGACAATGTGAGCCAATTTATAGATGCCTAAGCATGTTTATTTTGTATTAGTTATACCTAGCATAAAATCTAATACAAATGCATTAAGCTTTCCAAACACCAAATATTCAAGTCCTCTACAGTGATTCTATTATTGTGCTTGGATTGATATCAGGATGACCAGCCTCCCATTACCAGACACAATTTAGATATAAAGACAGCAGAAAAGTAGCATTTATTGAATCCTCCACTTCCTGCAGTGACAATTCTAACACATCCACCCAGCACGTTTAAGTTGATCAGGTTCTTCTTCTCTAGCATGTTTATGCTACTTCAACTTCAATTTCTCCTTGTAATTTTTTTGTTCAAAATATTCTGTGTCTACTCTGTTTAAACTGAAAGAATTGATAGTGATAAGTTACACATTTTACTAAATATTTTTGGCTGAAGAAGCTTGGTGAGTGACTGGTTTTTTTAAAGCAGTGTGTTTTCCTCCCAGAAGCACAGCTTTCTGGAAAACAAGTATTCCAAATGCTCAAAGCAACACTCAGTTACTTTGGTCTCATTTACATCCCTTCTCCCAACCACTCTGGCTCAATTGCTTTGTCTGTAGGATACCAGATCTTGGTAAACAGCTGTCCATAAAACCTCTCCAAATGCTTATTATGTGTACCTTTGAACTTCCCCATAAATATTCAGGGCTCCACTCAAACTAAGATGAAATACAAGAACTAAAGCCTTCAGGTACAGAAGATGAAAGACTTCAAAAAACCCCAAAATGTTGAAGTACACAAAAGTGCAATAACAAAAGCAGAGACTAATGTTAACTACTTAATCCTGGAGAAGATTTTATAGAACAAGAACTGCAATGAGTCTCATGAAGTTGGACAGTCCAAAGTGTCTGAAATGTAATCAATCAGCACATACTCCGCTTCATTCTGATTATTATCCTCTACTGTACCAAGTTATCTTTGTCATTTCCCACAAATATACACATAAAAACTATCAACTGCAGAACAACCACATTGCTTTCAGTCTATAGACAGCCTTACACACTAAAACTAATCCTCGCTGCAGTCACTCAGCAACCTAAGAGTGCCAGTACAAAATCTAGTGGAAGCTAGCAGCTGTTTTATCAAACGTAGTAAAGCAATACTCAAAGTTTTACACTGTCTGAAGATTATCTAGGAATTAATTTGTGTTATATATAGTACAACCATTTTCTGGCTAGTGTATTATCAAGAGACCTACTAGTAGTTAAAAAACCTGGCTACAAAGAGTCTTCAAAATTGAGAATGGGCCTGGCTTTAAAAGTTGCTGTAAACAGTACACTTTTGATACAGAAAGTAAGACTCCCCCCCCCCCCCAAGTCTTACATCTCACCTGTACCAGGTATTTTTGGCTTCCATACATTACATACTGAGGGGCAAGACTGTAGATCATATAACTTGTATGAAGAACTATCAACAGAAGTATCATGCAGAGAAACAAGAGTGCTTGAGGTCGAGTTTTTCCTCTCCTGATTTTATAAAGCTAAAAAACAGAAAATGTACTAATATTAACATAATGAAAACCTCTTTTTTTCCCTGAAGACATTTAAAATCCTCTTTAATTCAAGTAACAGTTTTAATTCTGCTGACAGAAATGGGAGGCTGCTAAAACTATCCTCTGGCAACTTAATTCCAATAAGCCAAAGCAGGTTTTCAGGTGTATTTACCTGAATTTCAAAGCACAGCTATTTAACCAAATTAATTGTTGTTTGTATTAATAACCCAGAACATTTATAAGCATGCAGTTACTAGCATGATTTAAATGGTGTTGCTTGTCACTGGTAACAAGCTGTGCCTTGGTTTTTCAAGGAGTTTTACGCCCTTCAGTCAAGGTGCGGTGTCATCTATCATGGAGGAAGCTATGAGAGAGTATTCCCAAGGCTCTGAGAAAATTTGGACACCATATGGTGGCATCTTTTCCACTTCACACTGCAGAGAATGATATAATCCCTTGTTGTTACCCTGTAGATACCACTCCATTCTGTAACTCCCAAAGGCTCAACCTGAGTACCATATTAGGGTAAAAAAGCTGGCAGCTGAAGGGTAAAAGATGGAAGACCAAAACCAACAGCCAATCTCACAACTCATTACAAGGACTCAAGGTCACCATGCACAATTTTGGGGTGACACCACACAAAAGGGTGACAGTATTAAAGGGAAAGTAGGCACAGAAGCAGGGAAATATTTAACCAAGCATCACAGGCACAAATGACATACTGTTGGATACAAAGCTGCTTTTTCAAATACTGTAACATATTAATTTGCATCATATTTAGATATACCATATCATCACTGTACTGTTCTATCTCTTACCAAGCTACATAAACTTGCTTACCACCTAAAAAGCAACTCAAGCATGCACATTTCAGATTTTGACCATAAAATTCATTAATACTTCCAGTATATCAGAATTATATGGCTTTAACTTAGAAAAGTCAGAAGCCAGAGTGCCACTGATTAAACACTTGAGTCAGCTGACCGTATTGCTTAAACTAAAACATCAGTTTTGGTCTGATAACTTAGCAAAACCAGAACGCCTTTCAAAAGCAGTGAGAACTGTACAATAGGCTTCTAACACTCATTAGACATACAATGCTGTTTGCAACATGCAGTACTTACGAAGCAGTACGTAAATAATAGCTATTTATTAAATATATTCATTGTCACACATTTGTTAAACATCTTACTATTATAAGCTAAACTCTTAATTCATATTTACCCTTATCCAGAAGAACCATATACCCATATTTCGAATCCCTGCCATTGAAGTGAAGATAAAGTACATAACAATAGTTGTAATAAGAATATAATCCAGTGGAAAAACCTAAAACAAGAACACAAGCAGTTAAAAAAAAGAAAATGTTCAAACTAGAAAACAAGCTCTTCCCCCACTTCAATCTAAATACCTAGTTTCTACTTATAGCATCTGAGGTAGTAAGAGTCCTTCCCTCTAAAAGTTTTACGTAGCTGGCTCCAAATACAGCTAATATGGCCTGCTGCTAATAGAACTTATACAATAATTCTGGGAAAGCAATGGATGATTTTTCTTAATTTAAAACTTGCCTTAATTTTGAAGTGTTATACAGTTTTAGGCCAAGAAATACTTAATTCTGTTCTGAGAGTACACTTAAAAGAAAGTCTGCAGTGGTAACAATCATTTTAGGACTGTATAGGCATTCTATTTGTGAATATTTCCGATTTGCATACAAATTCATAAATATAAAAATCAAGTTTTATATGCATTAATAACAGCTTGAGATAATACTGTTGCTGAACACTACTTTTCTCAGTAAACTGCAAACTTAGGCATTCAATAGTTCTAGAAACCATGGGGAAGCAATGCATTGTGCCAACCCATTACACCAAGAATATGGAAAGAACTCAACTAGGGGAGAATAAAGCACTAGCTTACATTAAGGCTTTTCTTTTTCTTAGCTTACCTATGACTGATTGCCAAATTTGTACGTGGCCTTGTTGCCTTCCAACCCTACTGAAGTTAAACAGATGTTTGTTCTTATGTAGGGTCTGTTTCAAAGACTAATGCTTTACTATAACATACATAACTGCACAGAGTATAGTATATTTTTCAAGGTGCAATAAATATATTAAAAAGTGAAAAAGTGCATTTATCTCACTTAAAGGCCATAAACTATCAAGTACACAAACAACTAGAGTGTAGCTAGGGCATGGGAGAAAGTCCATGATAACTACAAGTGATGTCATTCTTCATTGCCACTACATTCTCACCAGGTGAAAGTTAGTTTCAAGCACTACCCTCCTCCAACAACTGGCTTCCATCCACCCAAGATTTTCCTATCAGTATCTAATAACTAAAAGATTGTTAACAAGGAAGTTGCCTGGCTTTTACAGAATAAACATCTAGACAGTTTCATTTTAATGAATTAATTGGGGAGCATAGTTTGCCTTTTGATAGCTCACCAGAAAACAGAGGGGAACATCCTTACATATGTAGATCACCAATTTTTTACTTACTGTTTGAAGAATAGGTAACAGCATATTCAATGGATTGGTCAGATTAGTTCCTAAAATTATAAATCCTGAGTCGAAACCAGCCGAATGCAGAGCTTTGTCCAAACTGCAGTAATTAAGAAAAACTGGGTAAGTACTACAGCTCTCCCAGAGCTTTGTCTTCAGTTTAATTTAAAAGAGCAGCTCAAAAAAAGCTGAACTAAGCCCAGAGACTAACAGCTTTTTCATATCTATATAGACACAAGCTTTCTTTTACCACACTCATTGCACTTGTCCTATGAAAAGGTATATTGATTTCTGCATCTCCTTGGCATTTTAGCTTTTCCCTAGGTTGGGTCATAGAGCTTATTTGCCCTGTCTGAAAAACTAAAAATGCCAACATTTGAGACCTCTGGTTAGTGTCAATCTTCACTGAAATCCACCAGATTTGCAGCTGGCTATATTGCTTTCAACACCATGAAACAATTACAATGTAATACACATCATAATGGATTATACAAGTCATTTACTGCAAGAGTTTAAGCACCTGGTACCTAGCCCAAGAAGTACCTACATGCATTAAGATTCATTCAAGCAATCAGAATACTTCTGTAGTCTGAATTAAACTTCCTTAACATATACGCTTAATTTCTCTGCTGAATCAGAACTTTTCAGCAGCACGCAGTCAATCAAGCTGAACCGTGTCCTTTTTTCAATCTGTTTTATCACATTTTGCTTACTTTCAATATATACTATTATAATGAGAAATGCAGCTTTAATTACAGAAACATAGCATAGAAAAAGAAGTGGGATGACTCTTGAAGCAAACCACCCCCGATTTTGACATAAGAGCAGAAACTATGTAGTTTAAGTTGTTCAGGAAAATGCTGAAATTTACTTACTTTGACAAGAACAGAGAGACAGTGAAGAGCAGTGCCACTATGATGAAGAATACTCCCCACACAATCTAGAAGTAAAAATTTATTACAACTTAACTGAAAGTGATTGCAGTTGATACAAATGAAGACTTGTCTAAAGTTTCAATAAAGGACTAATGATCTTGGACCACCTCAGAGCTCAAACACACTCGAAACAGTAACTTTTCGGTAAATACTATAGAGAAGTGCCAACAAAAAGTTTACTCTGTCAAACAGGGTTTATGTCAACCGTTTGAAAAGTTGATTGTCCGAGATGAAAACCACCTCTTTGCCTGTTGAATACACTAAGCTCAGGATGAAGCATTAGAAGTACATCACGTGCTACAGTACAATACAGAAGTCTACCTGTAAGTCAAAAGTGACATTAGGAACACAGATGAGATGTTATCTCAAATGAACACAGCATGTAGCAGAAGGTACAACCTGTACTTGCTATATTATATGGAAAACCTTAACTGTATACATGCATGTGGGTTTAATTAAGGGAAATTAGAGTTTGTTTCCCTTAGCCACCATGCCTGCATGCTCACCTTCCAACAGGAGGCAACCTGTGAACAACTTACATGAAACATCTCACCTTTCCTGAATGAGAGCGCTCCCTTCTGTAGTGCTACTCAAACACTCAATAAGCAAATCACTTGGAGGGAGCGATTTAAAACTCAAGTCGCCAAGCCCAAATACCAGGTCTACCTTTTTCTTGCTTCTGCCTGCAAGTCATCTCAGTTACTCATCCGCATTGAGTATTTCAAAGCAATTTTCAAGGTTCAAGTTATAGAAATCATCAACTTCACAAAGTATTTTGACACAAAGGTTTAAGTCACCTAGAGATTTAACTCTGAAGTGATGTGAAGACTTGAGAATGGACTAGAAAAAATATAAAATGCTTATAAATAATACTAAGGTAGTAGGAAAAATACTTGAGTTTCAAGAAAATCTAGGTGAGTTCTACTTAAATACTATTATTCTAAAACACCACCTATCCACAAGTGATTAAAGTAAGATGAGATTACTATGACCACATCACTACCACCAGATAAAGGCCTCTCTTCTGGAAAAGATTCTAAAAGACCTTCCATACCCCTTTAGCTGCACTAGGCAAGTCATTTGCCCCACAATCTTCCTTGGGAGTGCATTCAAGAATTTGAAACCCAAAAAAAGTGTAACAGCTGTGGTTATTTAGCCAGCAAGTCATAAGCATAGGTAAGTACAGGTAAAAATTTTTTAAGGACCACTATAATTAAATGAAATACTGCTATTGTTTTTAAAATCAGCAATAGCAGGCTTTTTTGTAAGCTTTTGCACACTAATACAGAATTCCTGAGATACGAAATAAGAACAGAATTTCTTGGCTAATCCAAGGCAGGATATGAAACACTAAACTAAGTTTACCAGGAGTAAGCGAAGATTTTGTAGACCAACCATATCAGCAGTTAAGCTGGTTTTGCACATTCAGGTTTTTCATGTTTTAAGGACTAGATAAAAATAAGCTAACATCTTAAAGAGCTAAACAATTTAGTCCCTGAATATAGTCAGAGTATGAAAAGTTTGAGTTTATTTTAAACTGGAGGAATTCAGGCAACTTAACAGCAAGTGTAGAGAACCAAAAGTAATATTCTGATACCTGTACATTCCGTAGTCCCTATTTCCTTCTCATTTTTATCTTTGGAGGAAGCAGCCACCTTCTTTGAAAGGTGGCTTCATTTCTTTCAGTTCTTCTATGAATGGTCTGAATCCAGTAGATTCAGAGAAATAAGGTTGTTCCTTATGATCTTAATTAAGAACACAGGAAAGTGTTTTTATTATGCCTACCAAACACAGCACTTGAGCCAGGGACTTAATTCTCCAAGCTGTCCTCGACAAGAACACCTCCTGTTATTTTTCCTGGGCTACAAGCTAGTTCAGGAAGTTATTCTACAATTCTTTGGCAGGTTTTCTCTCTCACAGTCTTCTCTTTGGGGGGGTTAGGGGATGACATACAAAAGTGAGCCCAGATAGCAAACCCATTCAGTTACAGCTCCAACAGGTTCACTGTATTTTCCCAGAAACCATAGTCACGGAATATGTTGGGGTAAGCGTGCTGAACTTCCCAAAACATTATTGTTTTCAAATTGCTAGGCTTGAGACAACCTAGACAGACTTATTTCCAAATTCTATATGCAGGAACGCAATGCATGGTCTTCCATATGAATGAGGGAGTTTCATAGTTTAATTTTTTTTACTAACCTTAAAACTTGGCACACAGCCATCTTGAAAAGGTTAAGAACTTTATTACAGCTGCTCATTAAAGATATTCAGAGTTACAATGCTATTATTGTTCATTAAATTCTCAAGACAAGCTTCCATCTGCAAACTCAAACAGAGTATTAGAACATCGCTTATAAAACAGCTCAAATTATGTAGGCCTTATTAGGTATAGATTTAGAGACTGATACCAACTACTAACTCACATATTTCCACATATTTAAGTGTATTAAGATTTTACCTCTCCACAGCAAACTCCCACTAGGTATTAGCCATACAGGAAACAGATGTTTAAAACCAGTTAAGACCAAGAGTCTGAAGCTTGCATTACTTCATTACCTTCTGCCAACTACTGCTGGTAGACAGGTATTCGTATTTCCTCTGGAATATGTCTGTCTTCTGAAGTGATGCATAACACTCTTAGACATAGATAAATGGTTGAAAAAGCACTCCTTTTCCCATGTTAACCTCAACTCCAGTCCCATTAAATACGAGATTGAAAAGGCTTGTATTAAAGACCTTCATTCTACCTTAGTTCTTCCTGTATTTCCACAGTGCTATTAAGACTACTGAACCACAAATGATTTGCAATTAACATGAACCTACGTTTACACATTTTCAGAGCATCAGTTGACTTAGGTCTTTCACAGAAGGGATCCTCCTCATGTTCTTACCTAGATTTTCCTCCTACCTCAACTGATTACAGACCAATCGACACCTCATTTCTAGCCTATTAACCAGCAGTTGGCCAACGATTAGGAGAATACCAACGCTCAGACTAGTAGTTGAGCTTGCAACTTACACAGTCCAGCTGAGCCTTATCAAGTGGTATCAACCTGAATTAAACTAAAACCATACCTCCAGTTGGGTATCACTTGGTATCTGGGTAAGGGAAAGAGTAAGTACTCCCCCCCGCACCCCGTCAAAGCCCAAGATAGGCTAGAAAAAAAAAACAAACAAAAAAACCAACAACATAGCAGCAGGAGCTATATACTCACTGTTGCCTTCTACTCGTCACCTATAGCAAAGGACAAATCTGTCATCTAGAATCTTATTGGGACACTACTGTACTGTTGTTTGCTAGCTTTGAACCAACTAGAATACCTTCAAATATTCTAAATACACTTAGCCATGAAAATTTACAAGATAACTTTGCTTTGTGTCACAGCGTAAATGAGAAAGAATCCAAGCCCCTGAGAACATGAGTACATGCTCAACTTCAGAGCAAAGAACAGCACTTAATCAAACCTCTTGTTCTCACAGCAGGACTATTCATCAACAGATGCTGAAAAGCTTTTACTATTAGAACAGGCAAAACCAAAAAGCCTGGGTTTCAGCCAAACAACACAGAGAAATTTAGTAAGGTCACCACAAAAAATAAGAAGAAAAGAGAAAGCAGCCCTTGATCTTTATTAAGAGAAGTCTAACTTCCAATGCAAGACAATCTTATTTCCTACTCCCTAATCCTTTTGAAAGCAGGACCTCAAAGCAATGGTACCTCAAGCTATATTACCTCCTCCACTACAACCAGGTTGAACTGCTCCATTGCCAGGCCACTTCCTCACATCCCTCAGCTACAAAACATAGACCCCATACCCACCTGTACTCAATCATTTGCTACAGAACAGGTTTCAGAGCTGCTGCCTTGCACTTACATCACTTTGATCACCTCTACACATCTACTTGGGTGTTCTAATCTACGATCTGTTGTGCAAGCTAATATACATACAAGTAACTGCAAAAAAAACCAAAACAGTGAACCATGCTTTTATGCAAGACTGCAGATACTACAAAACAATGAGTTGAAATAATACGTACTAATACAACTTACACTGCTGCTCGCAATGAGTTCCTTCAGCATCTTAATAGAAAGCCTCTGCACAGGTGAGTAAGGAAGCAGCTAAAGCAGAAGACAGTAAGAACCAGTATACTTAAAGCTTTGGTATACATTTGAACATACAGGATTAAAAGACATGGCTAAGCAAAAACCAAGACAAAAATGTCAATATATAGGCATTTCTCAACAGTAAAAATGGAAGTATGCTATTTCTAGGTCATAGTGAAAAGTTGAATTTCATTTCAGTTTAGTAAGTCAGGCCAAATAATTTAGAAATATTCAACTGATTAGTCTATTTTTCCACTGCTACTGTACATAATCAAGTCACAAGCTGGTAAGTCTTTTCTGACATTATTCATGTTCTGCTTACACCATTTTCCCTGGTACCTTCCTTCAACTTCTTAAACATTCCCCTGACCCCTGCAACATCCTTGTTTGAGTTATTTGGAGCTCTTCACCTCCTACCCCTCGTATACTCACCCGTCCAATTGTTTCCTACAGCAGTACTCACGTACCAATAGAAAAAGAAACTGTGAATCTGCTTAGGACAGCTATTCCATGAATTTGAACCAACACTGAGGCAACACAAAAATTTAAAGCAGCAGTCATCCTCTCAGGGGTGGTATTCATTAACAGAGTAAAGAAAACTGGTGGCACATTACTGAACAAGTACACCAACTGAGAAGCAAAGCTGGAATCCTCACAGTGAACACTTACTATTTGTATTGGATTTACATGGCAATGTTTTGGTATCAGGGGGGCTGTAGGGGTGTCCTCTCTGAGGAGAGGCCAGAGGCTGTTTTGCACTAGACAACGCTGTTTCCAGTTGGCACCAACTGCCCCGCTACTGGCCAAAGCTGACCCAGCAGCAAAGCTTATGGCCCCTCTAGGAAAACATATCTAAGAAAGGGAAAAACACAAGAGTGAGAGGAAAGAATGAGAAATAGCCCTGTAGACACCAAGCTCAGAGAAGGAGGTGCTGCTCTAGACAGAGGAGCAGACATCTCCCCCCCAGCCCTTTAAGAGAGCCATGCTGAGGCAGATAACCACGCTCAGCCCATGGAGGATCCCACACCAGAACAAGAAGATATTTTCTTAAGTAAGCTGCAGCCTGTAGAGATCTCACATGCAGAAGCAGGTTCTTCTGACAGGAACTACAGCCCATGGAGGAAACCCATGCTAGAACACCGACAAATTGCGAGGAGAAAGCAACAGCAGAGAAGAGATGTTACAGACTGATGGCAACTCTCTATTCCCCATCCCCACTGGGCTGCTCCAGAGTCAAGACTGAAGGAGTGAAGTCAAGCCTGGGAAAGAGTGGGGAGGGGCAGGCAGGTGTTTTAAATGATCTTTGTTTTTCACCATTCAAATCAATTTTAATTGGCAATTTTCCTCAACTCTGTTTTGCCCATGACAGTAACTGGTAAGTGCTTACCCCGTCTATCTTGACCCACACATTTTTCCAACTTATTTCCTCCCCCATCCTGTTGATGGGGAGGGAGAGAGCAGCTGGGTGGGCATTTGGCAGCCAGTAAAGTCAACCTGCCAGCACTATTGTGTGACACAATCTACTTCCCAGGAGGTTTTAGGTAACCTGGCAAACATGGGTTAAAAATTATTTAGATGAAGCAAAACACTTACTACTAAGTTATCACTATGTAAACTTTGGACATGAAATATTCACACACCTTGCTTGTCACATTGCCAGCCTCCCTGATGTAGAAGATGCAGCTGTGAATGCAGGAAGAAAGCCTGTCAGTTTAGCCACACCACTTTTGAGGCAAGTAGACTGACTCCTGACAGCACCTACAGTCTGCACTAACACTCTGCCAGCATGGCTGTTATCCAAGCAACTGCCTACAGTTTCCCCTCTTTCAGCTCTCTCCACAGAAGTGGTGGGGTAATCAAAAGCACATTAAAAAAAAAGGAATACCCTAGCCCTCCCATCCTCAAGACAGCATTAACTGTACCTATGCTTCTCTGAAGGCCTTCAGCAGCAGGTGGAGAGACTGACACATCTATACAAAGTCCTCATTATCCTTAAGATTAGATAGGAGAACAGTTTATCTCTCTCTTGCTAGCGTTCAAGTATACCACTCTCTATTTATCAAGAGAACAGTGTTCTCTTTGTAGTAGCCTCCATATACTTGGAGTGATGTCAATGCCTTTAAGTCCCCGCTTAAGCTAAGCCACATGAGCATGCTCTGTCCACACAGATCTCAATGTTCAAAACAGAGCACTTCATTTTCTTACATTACTCACCTTAGGCATCTCTTCAGTTGGTAAACAACTGAAGTACCCCATGAAAAAACAGTGGAATACTCCCACCTTACCATTGCTGAATACACTTCCATGTTTCACAACCTGTAGTCTTGTTCATATATTGAGCATATATAATTATGTGCTCTGGAGGTTTTTTTTTCCCTAAACAGTTTTTATACCTATCCCTAAAGCATACCATATTTCTCTTGCTGCTGAGAGTATCAGATGAAAGTGTGAGAAACCATAATAAAGGAAGGAGAAGCAGTAGATTTTCTATCTACAGGAAATGTTACATTTCGTAGAAAGAAATTAGACTAGTGTGACATTACTTGACAACCCATGCTGACCATTACTCATTTCCTTGAGATCTTCCACGTCTTAATTTTTCAATTTAGTCAAAAGCAATAGCTTCATCTTTGAGTAAAACAGTTATTCTCAAAATTTACTTTAATCCATGTCAAAGAAAGCTTACTCTTCAGAGAAAAAAAAAGGTTTGGCTTTGTTTAACAACAGATCACATGCTAATAGATATTTAGCAATAACAAAAAGTTAAAGCAAGAATATAGGTGGACATTATGCAAAGACAATATTATCATGGAAGTGTGAATGTAGACGCTAAGTTGACACTGTAAAAGACCTCCAAGACTAAGTGCTATTCCTGAACACGTATTCTGTTCTATCAGTCCCAGTAAGAGTCTGCAACTCCAATAAACCTGACCATCCCAAACACAAAGCAGAAATAGCATTCACCATATCTAATACTCGCCTCACAACAAATGGCATTTCTCTTGAAGTGTGAGAAATGGCCATTCTTGAACAATAATATACAAGTTGCACTAAAGACAGAAGTATTGTAAAGCAATAAGCAAAGCTAAGCTGTCTGCTGTACTTCTACATTGATCAGAAGTATATGTGAATATTAAAAGATTTCTTCTTCTTCATGAAAGCCACTAACTGAATGATTGACAGGTTATATACGTGCAAAGACAATTCAAATGTTATTAAAATAACAGTAAAACAGTCCTGCAAGAGTTAAGATATTATTAAGTGATGAACATTATTACTTTCACAGGACAGTTCAAGGAAAAGTCAAAGTAAACAAATTTTGTAACACACTTTATAGTACAACCCTACTCCAAGTGAAAAATCTGTCAGGAAAAATTATCCACCTGCAACTCCCCTTTAGTCTGATTCTTCAGTCAACAAGTCACAGTGACTGTCACAGTTATGGAGAAAATAAATAGCATTCAAACCACAAGAACAAAGAGACACTGGAATACCATGCTGACCGTAAGTGATAATCTGTAAGTAACTAATGATATTGTACACTACCCTATGAGAAGACAATGAACTGTTAAAACCCTACAGACAATAGTTATGGCCAGTGCATTTCCCAAATTTAAGGTTAATGTGAAAAGTTAAAAGAAACTACACAAGCTATTTTGAATCAAAGGAAGAGTCCAAACTGTTAAAGTGAACAGTTAGGGATATTTGTCCTTTCAATGAAAGGGCTAGGTCTAGATTTCTAAAGTACCATAGAAAGATAACTCCACTAAGAATTTCGCACTGAAAGCTTCTGTTGAACTGCAATTTTAGCCCATTTCCATTCGTACTCAGCATTAACAGTAGCAATGACATTAGAGGAAATTGCTTATAGCTCCCCCCCCTCAGCTTTTCAAAGTGCAGCCTACAGTTTCAAGCAACACTAAAATTTCTTCCTACATCTAGTTGGCAAAAAAATACTTTATACAGCAATACTGTTCCATAAAAGCACTGGATTTGAAAACCAGTTATCTTCTAAAAATCAAAGTCCTAAGATCAAAAAGAGACCAGGATCAAAGCTTTGCCCCAGTAATAGTCTCCTTTGCACCGGTTAAGTATCAAGATGTAAGTTCTATACAGCTAGCTTACTACTGACCAAGTAATTACTTGGCAAGATACTCATTCCATATGCATATATTCTCAAAATATCTCTCACTTCTGCTGGCTACATGTAATTTAGATTAACCTGAGCTACCTGACAGCTATAGAGTTCTTCCTTCTCTTCTTCTCATTTTCACATGCCTGAGAAAAGACAAGATACTCAGATTTTCTACGGCAGTGGCAATATAGTAGATCAGCTAGGATTTGCTCCTTTTCAATCTTAATCATATTTTAGGCAAAGTAAAAGGTTTTCCAAGAGCTCAGAACTTGCTATAGGGCTGTCATTCTGTAGTATAATAGTAAACAAAAACATAAGCAGTTGGTATTCAGGATGGTAATTGATAAACTTGACCTATGATTTATATGGGAAGAAGCTGGAAGTTATTCCAATTTAAGTCTCAAAAAGTGAGACAAAGTTTTACCTTCAGAGGTCGGATAGCTTCACAGAACTTCGTCCACCAGCTTTTCTCAATAGACTCCAGATGCCTCTCTCTTCTTCGAAGTGTCCTTAGTCTCTCTTCCAGTTGTTGTACAGTCCGTCTATCCCTTGATGCCAAAGGCCGACCATCTCTGCACTGGTTACCAAAAAAATAGTGCAAGAGATCAAGGAACATTGAATCAATAGACTTAACATCTAGTTTAATGAGCTACAACAACTCTAAAGACTTTGTAGTAAATAATTCACACTGTTTCTATGCATAGCAAGAGTATGAAGTACAAAAGTCACAAGCTGCAACAAGAGGAATTCCTATTAGGTGGTAGAAAACGCTCTTCACAATGAGGATGTTAAAAAATTTTACCAGGGTGGGCAGTCTTCATGGCTAGAAACACTTAAAATGCCCAGATGAGATCTGAATAGCCTGATCTAACTTGAGAGGGGTCCTTGCTTTGTGTAGAGGGTTGAACTTGACACCTTTCAGAGGTCCCTCCCAATCAAATTCCATGATGAAGCCAATATATGAAGCTTGGCATCTGTATTTTCTTTCCAGCATTCCACTACAGATACTCAGCTACGTTTCTTGTACTTGCCGTTCCAAAAATTATTCTTACAGAAACCCAAACAAGAAGCACCATTACCCCCAAAATTACTTGAGCATACCAGATAATTGTTTGTTTGATGATTATGTTTAAGAATGTACTTTAATTCTGTGCCTCTAAACACTGAGCAGGCACCATCGCACTCTGTTGTAAATCGAGTAGCAGATCCTTAAGTCTCAGTTATACACTAATAAGCAAAAGCAACAAAATGGGCATTAGGTAGCTGAACCAAAATTGTTTCCAACATTGATGTCATTGTACAACAAACTGATCCTTAAATAAAAAAGATTCTTATAGTTTTAGTACATCTCCTACTGTATATTTTTAAATATTGAAGGTCCCTATTCAGTTTCCTTCCCCTCTTATTTTAAAAGAGCCTTCCTGTAAATAGTGAAACACTTCACACCCAGTGAAGTTAAAGTGAATCTATTTTAGATATATTTCTCAAAGGTTACAAGACTACGACCACATTCTAGGCACATGTAACACTTAAATTGGAGATCACCATGTACTTTTAACAGGAACATATTCTCCATACCCTGTATAGCACCTCAGTGACTTGAAAAGACTTTTTGAAAACGGTCCAAGCTCCCAAGTTGCAAGTCCAAGCTTCAATTACTTAAGACTAATGAAATAAAGCTACCAGGTGTACTAATAGCAGAAGGCCATCCTACATCCTGAATCTTTTCATTAGATTAAGTAGCATACTTTCATGCTTCTAGTTTTCACTGTACATTACTCAGTAACACTCACTTTTTTCATGACTTCATGCAAATGTAACTGAAGATTTCAATTAGACTGAGGCAGAATCCTAATCATAATCCATAAGCCAAAGAAAGTTAGTTTATACTAATGGTGACATTAAAATATAGATGTAACAAAGACTTGCTACTTTTTGATCCTATTTGTTTGCTAGATCGAACAACAAGTCCAGTTGCTTGCAAACTGTCATAATCCAACATAGTCTTCTGTAGTAATGCTCCATTTTTCAGAGGTTTCTCATTCTTTCTTATATTGATTTCAGTAATAGAGATGCCTTTGTTGTAGTAGTAGTCTGTAGAAAACCAAAACTTCACAATTTAAACTGGGGAGACTACTTCTTAGGTTTCACTATGCAACAAGGTTTCTAGAACACTGCAGGTGCCCATACTGTGTAGAGATAGTCAAGTACCAAGAGAAGACTGTTAGGGAACTGTTTCAACACTGCTGAGGTCTACTATCACAAAGCACAGGACAGCCCAAATAGACTGCCAGGATGAAAGTAATGCATTTTAATGCCCCCTCCGCCCACTCAGGGTTGTGAAAACACTGGTCAAACCATTGCCTGCAACAGGTTGGGAAAAGGGTGGGAGATTTCCCCTAGCATCTTGTATGTAAAGGAGAAATCTTATCCTCCTTCAGCTTGTGCTCTTAGGTTTTTATGTGTCCTGCTTCCATTAGGCACAGTGCTTCAGTGAGCTGCAAAGCCATCATGGGTTTACAAATGGCATTAACATCCTCGGGGTGTTTAGGATTCAGAACAGAGTTCCATATGTACGCTTTTCATAAAGAAGTGATTTATAACAGCAAGGTACATTAACTGGGAAGCAAGAATATCTGGGACTGTTATTTATTCATAAAGATGATTAATAGTTTGATGAATCTAACCCATGACAGCTCCATGTGGCAAGTATCCAGTGCTGATAACATTGAGTAAGTATCAACAAATTGGATGCCATATCTGGTAGCAGACTAGGTTATTAGTGAGGTTAATATTCTTACCTTCTACAAAGTATCTCTTCCATATATCTCAGCAGGACTGGGGTAGTTTAAGTTTAGCTCACCAGCACCATTATTAGCTAGACAGAAGTAACTACTGCTGCAGGACTGAAAGAAAACCTAATTGCTACTACAGAAGTGACCACATTTGTTTCCAAATAACTCAAATAACTGCAAGCTAGTCAATTCTGACTTACTATTCTTTCTGGAACAAAAACTCTCTATGGCATGACCATAAACTAGTAAGCAAGCAGGAAAAAAGTCATTAAGAAAGTGAGAACAGTGAAGACTATACCTTTGATTTAATCCTTAATAAGTGTTGCTCTACTTCTTCAATATCTTCAGTGTTCTCTAAACGTTCATAAGCCGCACTGGTAGTTCCTTTTATCAAGTTTAGAGGCAAAGCTGACATACCATAAGCCTAAAATAAGAAAGAAACATACATACTCAAATTCTCTGCCATACATTTTGATCTGATAAGGCTGCTTTATGTTGACGCTATAAGGTATCACTGATGGGCCCCCCCCCCTTCTATAGACTTGTACCAAGGCAATCAATTCTTTTCCTTTTTGAAGCAAAACATAACAAACATGCTATGCAGATTCCAGCATCCCACATTGTTCCAATGGTACTTAGCATCCCACAATCACTGAGACAACAGCATGCGTTAAGATTTCATATAAGCATAGCCCACTGAAGATTTATCAAACTAGCCGTGGGGTTTTTATCAAATAATTTAGCTTGCGAAAACCTTACCTTTCCCACCTTAGATCAAAATCAAAACATTATGTAATACAGGAATTTCTAGATATTGAATTTAAGTAGTTTTAGATGCAAAGCATACCCAATTTCTTTGTAGCCAGTAGTCTTCAACTTACTTTTAAAATGAAATTATGTAGAAAGTTGCAGTAAAAAGACACAGAAGAAGCTAGGTGAGCACCTAAACTCAGTTGCATTCCAAGACTGCTTAGATACCTGTTCACATTCATACATTTTGTTGGCATTTACTCCCAGTTAAGTCCTATACCATTTAAAGGGTTTGTCAGGTTTTATGTCAACATTATGCCCAGATTTTTCCAATGCTAAGTCTGTAATCTTTCCACTACCATAAAAGACAGATATTTGAGGTGAGGTAAACAAGAAGAAAATGCCACTATTTCTTCCCTGCTACCTTATGAGTCTTATAGATCTAGGCCAAGGTCAGAAGTGTCTCCAAGCAGTTTAGAGACATTAGCCATTGGCTTTTTTTTTTCTGTGGGTGGGAGGCTGTTGGTGATAGGTTGTTCTCAGTGCAGAGCTCAGCAGGAACATTACTCTTCTCTTAATCACAATTAACACATGCAGTTTTACTAGAGTGCTTGATATCTGTACATTTGCTAACTTCAGAAATGAGCAGTTTTCTAGATTTTCACAGGAATACCACTCCCTCCTTCGAGCACAGCTTTACATTTAATACTGAGAATAGATTTAACACAAATGCTAGCGTGTAATAAATGTCACCATACATGCTGTCAGATCACATGAGCTTTCTGTACAGAAGACTTGATTTCACCTGCTTAAGAACCTACTTAGACATACTAATGTCTCATACATTATACTCAAAGCAAGCCACTGTCCATTTTTTTTGGTGTATTTTTCAACATGCCATATATCCTGCCACCAACACCCATTTCTAAGCCCCTGTAACAAAGGGGTCTTATTTACTATTATTGTAGCTCAAAACCACATTAACTATTTAAATTAATAGCCATTTCAATATAAATAGCTGACACTGAGCCCACAGACTTCAGTTTCACTCTGCAAGTGACAATACTGCATGATTTCAAGAAACATTCCTCCAATTATTATTTCTCCAAGTATTAGGCTACAAAAGCACAAAACAGAAGTTTAGCAGTCTGACAACCTTGTTCACTTATTGTGGAATTAGGTTTCTTATATTCAGAGTGACAATTACCAGTAAATTCTTGGAACAGTGCCAGTTAAGTTCAACAAGCAGACAGCATGTATGTCTCTCAACAGGCTTCAGTCCCAAGGAAACAGTGGTACCTGTTAAATCACTTCAAAGCATTTAAGTAAAGGTAGGAGAAAAGTATTTTCCTTCAAATACTTCTTGAAGTATATATTAGCAAAGAACACATTCAGCTAGATCTTTGACAACCTGTACTACATGACTTTCTTTGTGTAGCTAAAGTATTAGAACTGGTTTTATCATAGACTCCTAGAGAATAAGGTAGGCTATTAGATATCTGCTCAGCATTTCAGGACTTCACAGCTGACATAGCCTCATATGTCACCCAAATATACAGCCAAAAAAAAAAAGAAGAGTATTTGCAGCACTGTTTACAGACTGTTCCAAATAAAGTTAAACTCTATTTTTTCAGCTACAAAAGGTAACTGGTAATTTCAGTCCCTGCCTTAGAGCTTTTTGCTGTAAAAGCTATACAAGGGAAGGACATCTCTTATCACAGGCTAGTGATGGCAATGAAATTTCATGCTTTCCAAGACACTCCAGAAGTTGTGGTTTGAACACAGCTATACAACCACAGAAAGGCCTACCTACAAGATTAACTACTTCAGGTAAGGAAAAGAATTTAACTTAGGCTGCACTTTACAACTCTGTCCATAAATATGGCTCAGTTCTCCCTTTAGAGAATCTCCTTTGAGAGCATTAAGCTGCTTTGTTATCTACAGGAGCTAAAAAGCAGTCTCCCCCAATCCTCCTCTTCTCTACGCTGAAGATAGAATTTCTTCAACCTTTCTTTATGTGTTGCATTCTCCAACTCCCTAATCACTTTCACAAGTCTCCACTGGAGCCTCTAGTTTTCCGTTTCTTAAGCTAGGGGACCAAAACCAGACACAGTATTCCCAGATGTGGCTTTGGAAGTGCCAAGTACAGTGGAATAATCATGTCCCTTGACCTACTGGCTATGTTCTTGCTGATGCAAACCCAGGAGACTGTTTGCCTTCCTGCTGCAGGGCACACTGCTGGCTCATGCTCAGCCTGCTGGCCACTAGGACTTCCAGGTCCTTTTCAGCAGAGCCATCCCCCAGGCAGTCAGACCCCAGCATGAACTGTCGGTTGGAATTAATCCATTCTAAGAGAAGACCCTAACATCTGCTAAACCTGATACCATTCTTGTCGGCACAATCTTCCTACCTGTCAATGTCTCTATGGTGGCTCTTCATTCTATCTTATCTACTTCTCACAGTTTGATATCATTCTCCAACTATATGACTATATACTTAACCCAACCATCCAGATAATTTATGAAGACTGAATAGTATTGGGCCCCTATTGACACTGAAGAGTTCACTCAAGTCTGGCTGCTAGTAGTGTAACTCCAGAATTTAGGTGAAAGTATAAACACCATTCAATTTTGTAACTAGAATGCAGGCTGCAATCTAACCAAGGTCCCTCTGTGGAACCCAAAACATTTCCAGCCACAGCCATAGACATTCAGTATGTAGAACCAAATATAGTAGAGAGATTGCTATGACAGCAGACCCACATAATTTTATAAACCTAAGTTTAGAAGCAATGAGATTTCACCCTTCAGCAGAGGCTTCACCTGTTCTTCAAACAGCTATCATGAACTAACAGATATCAATTATTTACTCAACAGAAATAGTTAAGGAATAAAATTTAGAGTTTCAAATCTTCTAAATCTAAGTTTCTACAAAGCAAACTGCAACCCTTAAAGGGATACATTGTTTTGCAGATGTGAATTATATACTTGAATGTCAAGCTTGCTCTACTGATAAAGGCAGTCTAAGTTCCTTCCTTGAATACAAAAGATGCCAACAGTGAGATGATTATGCAAGTAAGCCTCCCATCATCAGCGGGGGAAAAGCCACTTTGGTCCTTCAAGACAACAAGATATAGAATGAAGGAGAGAAAGATGAGTCATCTCATGTGATGTGTCACAGGTCTGAACAGAAGCTGTATTCGCTCAGTTTCAGGGCTGCATCTCCCTTCAGGCTGATGTAGAACTTCAAGGCTGCCCTGAACAAAGTTTTAATCCCCTGGGCTAGTGCAAGTGTTAAGTTATTCAAGGACTACTATTTTGGGCATCTGCAACTCAGCAAGCAAGCAATGTATTGGAGATAGCACAGGAAAACCAAAGCTGGACACTAAAGCCAAGAGAGGGGCTTGGTCCTGAGACACATTGTGGGTTCAATTATTAGAATATGCATAGAAACAGATCAGAAGAGCCTTTAAAGTAGTTAGGACAAGTTAATTTACACACATGAATTTTGATAAAACAACTAATTAAGTCTTGACATATTTACACCACTGAAACAATAGTTTCCAGGACTTATTTTTAGACAACCTTTGGCTAGAAGCATTAAGTCAGATAAGATACACTGCACTGAAAAATAAAAACAGTTATCCGAACGTAACAGGCAATTACAGCATACATGGTTGTTTTCTCCACATAGGTTCTTCAAAATGCACTGAATCTAGTACTAAACACTAACTGTTCAGGCTGGTATCTGATAACACATGCTGCAAGGTTAGGTCTTTAAAGTCTCAGGCTGCTATCTCTGCTGTTACTGACTGCCTGATCAGCTTCATTGAAACCCCATTTTACAGTAAAAAAAAATTCTAAATTTATAGTTAAAACAATTTATTTTGGAGAAGGTTCCCCTCTCTTGAATCCCCACAAGTGATCCATATAGATCACCCCCTATCAGTTAGCTTAAGGGCTGGAAAGCCAAACCCTAAGAGCTCACTACCTAGGAAGTACCAGTTAAGGTCATCATCTGTGAGCAAGTGTCTCATTCTGATTTGAGCATCTGCCCACAGGCAATACAGATAATATCTCTGGATGGATGAAGTTCATATTTATACTTCCTAGATTTCTTGAAGTAGGTGGCCTTCTACTCTAAAGAGAAAACTAAAAACCAAAACAACTTAAAGCAACAGAAAAAACAGCTTACCTATCCTATGAAAAGAACAGTCTAAATAAAGCTCTTCAGACTTCTTCCTTATTTGTTATTCACAGAAGCAGTAGCTAGGCCTGAGACAGGAATTTGCAAAGAAACCTGTCATCAGCGAAGCAAGAGCCTGTAACTCACATGAAAGCAACAATTCAATACTGTTTATGCAGTATCAGTAGGCATTGAAGAACAGCAAGAAGCATACTCTAGATATTCTCTCAGCATGCCATTGAACCCAAATATACTCTGTGCTCCAGACAGAGCACTAAAATACCTCAATAGATATTACATGAGCATTCCTTCCCATTTGCTTAATCTTCACTTCTCCTGTATCCCCTTCTTTCCCATTCTGTCTGCAGTAAACCTAGCTATTCTCCTCTCATTCCACAGTTAAGATTCAGAAAGAAGAGTTGCTGTTTTTATCCTTTGGTCTCTTGCAGACTCAGTATCTTAAAACACTTTAGACTTGCCAAACTCACA